TTTAGGGTTTAGGGTTATGGGGTTTGTGGCTTGAGGGTTTTGTTCGGAGGATCACTGCTTTAGTCAGGTCCAAGAGCGGCCTGGTTTGCGGGTACAAGGTCCCAACAATGTGTTGGGGTCTGTGGAGTGATTCTTGAGATCTCCACCCACAGGGTGAACTCCAACTCTAGCGCAGGGCTGTAAGTTTAAGGTTTGGGACAATGAAGAGCAATCCGAATCACTGATGCTCCACTGGGCTGTGATGCTCGGGCGTCAGGACTGGCAGCCACCCTAAACAACCTGAACCCGAAACCATAAACCCTTATTGATGCTTGGTCGCGGGATGGCCCGCGGCTGCCAAGTGTACACGAATCTGATGCCGGCGGCCCGTCTTGGGGCTAACCTGTGGGCTGGTTCAGGGCAGAGGCAAGGGCTAGGCAGAAGCAGATGCTACAACCTCCGAAAGCCCAAACCCAAACCCGTTCCGGTGGCGGCCCAGGTGCTTATGTGGTGTATGTGTTGGTCTTACAGGACTTCCCATGCACATAGCTGTAAAGACGACAGTGTAGGAAAATGTAGGCCCTACGCCCCTGGCAGTCCCGAACCCCAGCACACCGCAACTCCGGAGCAATTTCCCGACCTTTGAGTTCTGGATTCTAAGCAATCACGACCCTCGTAAAGACTAAAGACTCAAGCCTCTGATACCTAGATATGAGGTTTCGGTGGATTCTAGTCTAGGCTACGAACGTATTCGTGAATACCACGGTAATGGTTTTTCTAGTTATTCAAGCCCGTGCAACAGTTAACAACGCCTCGCAAAGTCTTATGAACTGCTATCCGGCCCTTGTAAAGCCCTGCAAAACCTCTGTAATTATGCGCCACCATTAGATATATCCTTGTACAAAAACCCCTCCTCCCTAACCCCTCAAATCCCTACATTAGATACCTGAGCCGGTCTCTGGCGTTCCGAACCTCGACCAAGGAGGCAGGCAGCGGCTCTCGCGTCACTTCCTCGCCGGCTCTCTTGACAAGGGTGCTGGTTAGGGCTTTGGGTTCTAGACTCAGCCATCATGGAAAGGCAACCCTGCGGAATACGATCACCAACTTTTCGGGCACCCCATAGCAGGTGGCCTAGCCGATCTCGGATAGTATCCTGAGGCTGTACAGTTTTGAACTGGGCATTGGGAACGGTAGGGAATAGCGACCCACCCCACAAGTAACTGGGCTTCTAGGGGAACCTTGAAAACTACTGGCACCCGCGAGTTACAAGTTACCTGGAGTCTCCATGGCAGTTCCTTTTTGGGGTTACCGATTATAGGATGCTTAATACTGAATTGGTTAAACCCAAAAGAGGAACTACAGTGGAGACTAGAAGTACTTGTAACTAACCCCGGAAGCCAATCCAAATCCCAAAACCTGGCACCGCCAGCCCCAGGCCCATAACCCTAAACCCCACACAGTAATCCCTACAGCCTTAACCCTAAACCCCACAAGCCCAAAACCCCTGATGCCCGAAACCCTAAACCCTGTATCACTCCCTGAACCTCATACCATCCTAATCCCTGAATTATGCCCGATGTCACACCCAAAACCTCGTACCCCTACACCCCTAAACCCTAAACCACTTGCTAAACCCTATGTCACACCCCATGCCCCATACTTCTCGGCCTCCTGGCTCCCTTCGCCGCAGCCGCCGAAGCTCGCTTGCCAGGGCTTCGGGGGCCACAGGCCCCGTTTCAGCACCCGAACCTTGGCTTAAAGGAATTAGGCTTTAGGGTTTAGGATTTGGGTTTATAGGGTTTAGGATTTAGGGTTTAGGGTTTAGGATCTAGGGTTTAGGGTTTAGGATTTAGGGCTTAGGGCGTCTAAAAAAACTAAGAAGACGCACAGGCCTTTTCTCGCAAACAAAGCACTCGTGAGCCTCCGCGGAGTTTTGCAATTCACAACCGATCGCACTCTGATGGACTGTTCACAGAGTTCTGCAATTCACAACGGCTGATCGCACTTCGCTGGACACAGAAGCTCCTACAGATTTACATTGGTTCAAAAACATCTTCTCTCTAACGGGGATCTTCAAAGATGAGCAAGACCTCCACCACTCCCCAGCTTTCTTAGGCTTGGTGAGCAGGTCAGCTCGTTGTAGCTCTGTAGGTAGCCAGACTAGGGGTGCGCGCGCATCCTCGTCTTGGTGTCCGCGAGTTTCAGCTTGTAGTGCTTGCCTAAGACATGCTATGTCGATAGCGAGCCTTCTGTCTGATGGAGTCCTTGGGAGTCCATCCTTGTGAAAATGATCATAGAGCGAACGGCAGTCTGTCATTGCCACCAAAGGTATCTCCTCGCCGGATCGCCTGGTGAGGTGGCCGGAAAGGAACGAGGCGACCATTGCCCGGACATACTGAGCCAACTCGATCCCCTCGATGCAGCCCATCGTCTCCGCTCCGAAGGTCGAGCGACACACCCGGTCGCAAGCATGCGACTTCCACTCTACGATGCTGGCAGGAGCGTCTTCTCCTTGTACCGCTCCGGTTTCGGTGAACATGACCAACATCCCTAGCTGAGAGGCCACGCGGGAGTTCTTCCGCTTGGCCTTGCGCTGTTTGGTCGCCCACGGACCATCACGAATCACCCCGCGCTCCTCGTCCGACGGTGACAGGAAGTACTCGGGGTCCTCATTGCAGTCCGGCGCATTCGCCCACCCAGCGTCATGAAAAACCGCGACAATGAGCTTGTCGAGGTCGATCTTTCTGAGGACAATCGCTTCCTGTCCGTGCTGGAGGGCGCGGCGAGCAAGTAGGTTGGTAAATTTGATATCCTCGATCGTAGGGCTGGCCTGTAGTTGCTGGGCCACACTTACCCCGCATGCCAGATCTGGCCGAGTCTGGGAGGCCAACCACGACAGGGCTCCGATCAGAGACCTGTTATCGGCAATTTGTTCGGTGCTCGCCTTGGTGTCGTCGGGGACCTTGGGGTCAACGGCAACCTCAAAGAGCCTGTTCTCGACATAGCCTCCTTGTGAGATTCGGATCTCGTCCTTTAGGACCTCGATGTGGCTGCCGATGAAGTCGAAAGTGTCGGTCTCCCATTCTTCGACTGGAAAACAAGTAGACAACTGTTCCTGAATGGACTTACTCAGGCCACGAGGTCCAATCAGTAGGATGTCGTCGACATGTACCGCGGCGTAGCACAGAGGTTTCGCTCCCTCGACCCGGTCGTTGTTGTTGTCAATCTCGATCAATTGAAACACACACGGGTCCAGGGGGGATGCAACAAACCTTGCGTAGGTCCCACCCCCAATGTCGATCTTCTGGAGCTGGATGTCCTTCCGGAACTTACGCCACCACATGCGCGGTGAGTCAATCAGCCCGAACACACCTTTGTCGATCCGGATGATCTCAGAGGGGTGCAGGCCTGGGAGTCCATGCCGAGGTTGACGTAGATAAAGTCGACGTTCAAGAGGATCTCCGTTAAGAAATGCTGCTGTAACGTCTCCTGCACTCACGGTCCAGTCTTGGTCCAAACGACTCGCAGCTATCTGGAGTAAAGTCATAACCGCTGTCCTGGAAACGGTTGGAGAATCTGTCCTCAATGCTCCCGTGGACACGTCTGGGTCGGTGTGTCCACCGATCACCAACCTGGATTTCGGCTTCCAGGGCACGCTGGGGTCAGATCGCCGTTTGGCGAGATTTTTGTCACGGTAAGCAAACCTGCTCGACAGCACCCGGTCTTTCTCGGTGGCGAGGACCTTCAAGCTGGTCTCGACATCCAACGGAGTGAGAGCACCAAGTCGCAGATGTTCCTCCCATTGTCGAGCTTCGGCCTCTTGAAAAAGGGGTCTTTTGTCGATCGGGATGGCATTCCAAGGAATCTCCTTCTCCAATTGCTTCTCTCGGCCACGCTGAGTAGTCGCTCTCTTGAGCATGTAGGCCTCTTGTGGTGT